GGCAAACAAAGGTTTATTTTGGTAAAAGAAAAACGCGGTACAATATATATCTCAATAAACAGTCCAACACCCGACAGTTATTGTAACAAATAACGAAATAGCCTGACGTTCCCCTTTCCGTTAACCTTCCTCACGCGAGGCCCCGTTCTTTTTCGACAATTAAATATAGATCCGAAAATAAAAATATTGTGGACGGAGTACCTAAGGGACTTGCAAGGGTTCTGTCGTAGCGGTCCGATTGTGGGCTTCGATGGGGAATCTTCTTCTTTTCGAGTCGCAACTTCCTTTCTTCTACCAACGGTCCACTCTCTTCTCGGTCGCTCTTCTTTCCTTTTTCGTCTGCGGTTCTCTCCCTTTCTTTCTCGAAAAAGTCCAAGAGTCCTTTTCTTACTCCTTACACCCGCTTTTATAACTCCCTCCAACTCCGTCACACTGTCACGGACCAATCAGACGCCGGAAACTTAGCCATCGGCTAACAGGAGGCACCGAGGAAGGAAACGGAAGGGAAACGGTACAAATTATACGCGCGACGCGACAAAAACGGAAAACAAAAAAAAAAAAAAAAAAAAAAAAAAAATAGAATTTATTCAGTAACTGATATTCATTGTAAACGTGTATGTATTTTGTTCTTAAATAATGAACAATTTTTCTTCAGTGCTACAGTCTATTTTTCTGAATAATTTTGTTCATGGTTATTTCATTTCTATGATTCTTTTAATTGCTGAATGAAATTAATTTGTTTAAACTGTGCTGGATGATATAATCCCAAAATCAAAAATTTAGATAGCTAAGATCTGTTAAACTAAAAATATTCTTTAAAATTTTCTTTCTTAAATTTTAAAGACCATTATAATGTGTGATTGTTATAGATTGCAAAACAAAATCTTGTTAGTTTCTAAATGAACATATCTTTTAACTAATATGAAGTTTAAAAATAAATTATTACATATGAATAAATTTTAAAAAAATCCTATATAAATACATATTCAACTAATTAATATATCATTAAATATTTCTTTGTTACACTACTCAATTGTTTCAAAAAAAAAGTTTGTTGTTGGTACTTCTGTATAAATAATAATTTTAACAAGTTAAAAATTTGAAATCTCATAGAAATGTAGACTTTTGAGAGCATTTAACAGAAAATTTTGAAAAAATTCAACTAATTATATTAAATATTCAAAAAGAAGTTAGATTTTGATAAGTTGTTTTCTTGTAACTTGAATTTTTTTATCATAAAAATTTAACATTTCTAGGTTTTTATATTAAAGATCAAGTTCAAATAATTTATAAGCAATTCCTCATCTAAGACTGTTTTAAAAATTTAAAATTATTTTTTCAAAACTTTTTAGAAGTAAATATTTTAACATGATTTGTTGTTATTTCCAAAATTTAAGTTTCTCAAACTTTTAGTAACATTAATGCTTTAATTTTCAAACCATTAATTTCAATTTGAAAACACATAGTAAGGTCTGAAATGTGAATATTTACATTTGACAGTTAACAGCTAAAAACCATAGAAGTAATTATTACAGATATACAGTAATGATTAAAATATTTAAAACTATATTTGCAGTATATTAACTGATCATACTGTTTTATTAATGAATCTGGATTAAAAAATCATTAGAAGTTTTTTATGTTTTGTAATGTCAATATTAAAAATTAAGTATCTGCATTAGCATTTAAATATGCATATTGTATATTATTAAATTCTGATTCAGATGATTTTGTCATACTAAAGAATTGTAAATTGCTGAGAATTCAAGTTTTATGAAGTATTTTACAATTAAAATATTTAGAAGTAGTCTTATTCTTATAAATTATTTGCTTTATTTAAAACATTTATATTCTGAAATTTATAGATGACAAAAAGTTATTTTTCAATTTTGTAAAAAATAAAGAAAGTTTCTATTACTAGGTGTCAACAGAACAAATCTGTAAAAAGAAAGTTTCTATTATTAGGTGTCAACAGAACAAATCTGTATTCTTAAATTTATATTGGCATGTAGCCAATTGATCCATGAAGAAAGATTCTGTATTAAAACACCTACAGTGGTCACATTTTAATTTTCCTTAGAGATACATTTTATTGAATTAGATATTTTAAAATTG